TATAGATTTTTTATTTCTTGAAGTGTAACAGAGCCATTTGCATATATTTATTATTTTATTACTGTGCAAATCAAAGTGATCCAAAGAATTTAAAAAATGGTGATAAACTAAACCTAGGTTATGAAGTAATAAATATTCATGCAGAAATGTAAACATTGCAAAATCCATAACTGATAGTCATGTATTATTAAACAGCAATCAATACATGTATGCAGCGTTTATTAAGACAGAAATCAGAAAACAGTTATAAAAGCAAGATCTAACAACTTAAATAACCAACAATATCTAACTTTTGGCTTTGCGTTTCTCAAAATTTTATGCTAATTAGCCCAATGAGCGTTAGCCCAGAAGGGGTTATTAATTTTGTTTTGGCATTTTGCGTTCGTTCATGTCGATTCACTTTTAAAATTGTTGCCACCAAACATTATAGCCCTGTGTTATATGTAAAGTAATTAAATAATGAAGTATCTGCATAAATGTATATATAAACACTTTAACAAATTTTTATTAATAAACTCAACGATTTCAAAGCGAGCAAAGGGCAATACTGCACGAAAAAAAGAAAAAAATTCCTATCCCTAGCTCGCGAGAGTGTGTATCGGAAATTCTAAAGATATGCTCATGCGATATTACTGTTGAATTGAATTGTATGGTTTAAGTGCGAAGACCATGATATTTAATAAACAAACGTAGCAGACAAAACGTTAAAAGAACGCCCATTTGGGCATAATGTAAAATCTGAAAGCTTTCAGATTTTTTTATTTTTTTTAAACTTTTTTTATGAATTTTTTATAAATGTGCAATTATTTTGTAATCATCTGAATACAAATCCATTCGAAATTCAGTAGGTATGGTTTAATGTGATAACGCTTATTCAGAATTACTTTGATAACACTAAACTATGAGAAATATATGTTCTTCAAAATGTCAGTGGAACTTAACTAATTTAATATAAATATAACTAGAAGAGTATAAACATGTACACAGTAATCTAATTACGAAACGTCTGCAGCTGTTACACTTGAGTTCATTCATGGTGTGTTTTTTACACTTCTGGAAATATGTAACCCATGTTGCACTCGATATTCGGTCGGCATGTCAACATTTATAGAATACACACTGATTTCATCATTATCTTTTTCAGGAATTTTAACACTTGTATTGATTTGTTTTAGAAAGCTATTGACAGATATTTTTCATCATTATTGCTTAAATTTCAATTTGATCATTTTTATCAAAATTCTATTTTTTTATTAAATTCCTGACCTGCTTCACCTTTCACTATTTCATCATTTATTAAAAAGTTGTTATGCATAAAATAGTTATTTTTCTTTGAGACGCGATTCTAAGACATGCACCGTAAATGCGGTGTACCAATTAGGCTAGTTGTTTTTGCAAATTTTGCAGTTATATCCATATCTTCCATAAGGAATTATGAACGCTCATTTCACGGCAGTAATATTCTATCATCAATCTAATAATCCTTTGGTCACAGGGTGATTTGTGATTGTGGAAAATATGCAATTTCAATATACATCCTTTGTCAGAAGAATTCCAGAGCAAAGGTCGCAAAAAAATAGATCATTGCATTAACCAAGTAATGATCCGAGCCGCTATCAAAGTAGTCCCCCTTGGCTATCTGTATACAACTGTCAACATTTCTGGAGGTCTTAAAAGCAAGCAGGGAAATTTGTGATCTTTCCTTTAAGCATCCTTTTATGTTTACATTCCGATTTTGCTTTGATTAAAGAACAGCATTTGGTTGATCTATTCTTGAAAGCTGGTCAAAGAAGTCTGACAAGACGACTTTATCTCTTAAGTTTTCCTCTTATGACATCTTTTATTAGTCTTTATGATGAAGATAACCAACAACATTAAAAAGATGAGCACTTCCTAAAGTGGAACCTTCATAAAGGTCTAAAAGTCAAGCCATGTCAAAGAGGATTTTTTCCTCGAATAAACGAGGCCGTCTAGAATTAAACAGCTGCCCAGATGGTATAGTGATTAGGGAAGCCGACTGCGATACCAGAGGGCTCGGGTTCGAATTCCTGAGAAAGCATGGTTGTAACTGTGTAACTGTCCGTCTCTTCATAGGAGGCAAAGCTGGCCCACCCTTGTTCCTTGTTCCACTTATGCCACGATTATCGTGCAAGAAAACACGACGTGTTCCGGCTCTCTGATGTAATTTCGATGCGACACATGACGATGGAAGCTCCGAACTAATGAGCCCTGGCTGGGCGTAGAAGCGAAGGTAGACAAGAGGGCGTGACCATTGTCAGGTAAGAAGCATCAGTTCTGTTGCATTTCATTTGACTGGTCCGCGAAGCCTGCAGGTAGGTGTGCACTGTCACGTGATGAGGAGAAGTCATCGGATAGGATCTTGCATACTTCTTGAATTGCTAAAGCAAACTACAAGAAAGTTCAAACTAAAAGAAAGTTAAGCTATGTACAATATTTACACTATTTAAAAATTTTGTGAAGTTTCAGAAAAGTCGGTTAGTAACCACAGTTTCCATATCAAGTGAGAAAGTTCAGGTTTAGCATATGAGCTTTAAAGGGTCGAAGGTAGCGGTCTTCGTTAAGTAACTCATAACGAAACATACAAAAATCGTTCAGAGTTTCGTAGTTCATGAATTTGGAGAAGAACCGCTCGTTAGCCTTTCTCAGGAATCTGTCTATATAAGGTGGCTCATCTGTTAGGTGCCTCCATAATAAAGTAACCACCAATTTCTGGCCTTAGTACTAGCCAACCCCAAGTCGGCTGAAGGGCCGCCATGGGGGAGGGAGGAAAAAGAAGTAAACTTCGTCAGTCCAATCGATCTTCCTAAAACTTGGAAAGCGGGTTCTTTTGTGCATGGTTGACTTATAATCAAGCTTATAATCTTACATAACAACGTTTCATTGCCGTCTGGCAATTTCTGTACTATTTTTCCATCTTATTTGGCGGAATTACTTCAGTTTAAGAAACTCTAACATTTTCATCACATTAAACGACTTGTTGATCACAATAAGCAACGTATTTTCCAAGTTTTTGTATACCAACGAGTGAAACATCAATAATTCAATAACAATTTCCGAATTATAATGTTAATCGCGATCACACAGCAGCCTCTTTTGTAATTTATACAAAGGTTTTAAAACATCTTAGCTAGTTTACTGAAGTTCATACTGTAGCATATATTTCTCGTATATTTGCATACCATGTGTGGATTTCAAAATATGAAATTATTAGTTATGGTATACATAATATATATTATCATACTTCAATGTATATACGATGACAATAAATACGCATTATGTATTGTAATTATATATACCATTATTATATAATATTATTTATTAAAACTTTCCAGATTAAATATTCTATAAATGATGTTATTTCTATATTTGGCTCCCTTATGCAATTTTATTTCAATTTTTAAAAACCGAGATTTTTGTTATGTGTAACTTTAAATATAAATCAAATTTAACTGTTCATAGTAGTCACAGATAGTTTTGGTAAGCATTGTGAAAGCTTAACTACAGATTAATTTTCTCTCTTTCTGAAAGTTAAAGGATTTTAAAATAGTACTATGTCTAGATTGACTATCATGAATTACTCTATTAGCCTATGTACACAAATGCAGTCACGAGATAAACTACTCGTAGTTTTAATTTTTTATATTAAATAACAAATGGATCATTATAGGGAATCTATCACAACATTTTTAAATAATATAATTTTAAATTTCAGCATTTATGAGAATATTCATTTTCTGTATTTTAAGATTAAAAAAACTAAAAATGCGAGGCTTGCTTTTTATATTTCTGGTCTAATAATCAAAAAAGAAATGTTTATGATCGAAATTGGTTTTATTGTTTTGCAAAATATTCTGCAACACACTTTTACATGCGCTTGAACCAATTTTCGAAGCACTTTTTCCATTCCGATTGAGGTAACCCCCAAACACGTGTTTTGCATGCTTCAACCGCTTCTTCGTGTGTCGCAAATAGCTGACCACGTAATTTATTTTTGATGTACAGGAATAAAAAAATAATTCTTTGGGTGCCAAATCAGGGCTGCACAGCGGGTTACCTGTCAATTCGATGCTTTGGCCCGTCAAAAATTCCTTTGTTGAGCCGATGAGTGAGAGCTCTCATTACCATGAAGAACCTCCGATGACTTCTGGCAAACAAACTGATCATGTGCCACTCGGAGTTGACCTGGACAGTGACTCTGGACTGTAACCACCACTGTCGCTACGTAATCGGTAATACCGAAGAAACAGGCAACCATTTGCTTCGATGTGCTTCTTCTGCGAACAACTTTTCTTGCATTTGGCTCGCCTTGGAAAACCCATACTATTGACTGTTGTTTTGTTTCGTGCTGATATGCATAGATTCATGATTGATCACCTATGTAGATGTCATATATAGCCTTTGATGCACTACGAACGTTTTTATCCAATTTATTTATTTATTTACTTTTTTGCACCAAGCGACACTGAATTCGTTCTGAAGTGAACGTCGACCATGATTTAATTCGTTATACCGGTTTCTTTTACAGTGCTATAGGATAGTGCTTTATCGCTGTATAAAGAATTAAGTTCATCGAAGCACTCTTGTCTTGCTAATCCACGTCGAAAGTTATGAAAAATAATCGCACGGAAATGTTCACGAGCCAATTCCATTTTTTGCCAGAGGTGAATTTTTCAATTTAGTGTAAACAACAATCAAAATATTCTGGGGAAGGCATGGTTATAAATATTAAACATTCGATTGGGATAGCCTAGCAATATTTACTGTTGCCAAGGCCAGAAATATAAATCGCAACCTTCGTACATAGATTCTGTGCAGTTCTGCTTAAAGTAGTGAAAGATGTATTTAATCATTAAAAAATATATAATAATTTTTCATATATCATGTACAGTATGCTTATTAAATATTGATAACTAAGCTGCCGGCATTTAACATTTACTTAAGGGTGAGAATATTGGGTAATTATTTCCTTTATTTTTCAGTTCCTGCCCATTTTAAAGTCAAATTTCAATCAGCAACTGTGCGTAAAGGAGAAACAGTTCACCTTAAGTGCATAGCTTATGGAGAAAAACCGTTAACTTTGGTATGGACGAAAGATCGGCAAATATTTAACATGAGATCCGAATCAAGGTGAGTATTTTTTTTTGGGGGAGGGGGGAAGGAGAAGAATCATGAATATTCAACAGAAGATGCAAGTGAAAGCAAAAGATGAATAAAAATTTACTAACAATTATTTCAATATCTTGAGGCAGGAGAAAATAAAAACTTTATTTGTATACACTTAATTCTTTTATATGTGTTGGGTCTGCAAGTAACAAACTAACAGTGATATACAAGATGCATGCAACATTTTATTTTTCATATTTTTTATTCTGCTTTATTCCTTCAATTTTTAATGCTTATATTCTTGCACAACTAAGTATAGCAAATAATTACATCCCTTTCAAAATGAGTAGGATGTGACATTTTTCACAAACTTGCTTCACAACTCTTCATTTTCTCACCGCCAAAAATTGGTACTTTAAGATTTACTCATAGTGAATTATATGAAGTTCTTGAATTCTCATATGCATTACAAACATGTGCTTTAGCTCTTGAAGAGCAATTGATAATATCATGTGTTCACGTTCATATCCGGAATAGAATTTAAACGATCCAAAAATTGTTCGTTATCATCTAGAGGGTTTCTTTTAATTTTAATCTACTTGTATCAATTTTTTTTCACTGTTCAAACATTGTGACCTTTGATTCTTTATGCCCTCCCCCATCGAAATGGATTTGTTAAGTCAAAACAAAAGTCTCGCCAGTTTATTTCTGGATTGTTTTGGTGTTGGGTAAACAGTTGCTGAAATTTCTCAGCACGGAAATTTAAAGCTCTTCAAAAGAATTTCTTAATTTTTCTCATAATTCTGAGCGCCATCAAAAGATTCCTTTGCAATTAGTTTTGTAACAAGGCTTGCAATTAATTTTGTAACAGAAGACCAAAAATATAAACTAGCCATTTTGAAATCGGTACCTTCAAAGAGGTTAATTGCCTTTGAAACAAATAATAGAAAATAAATTCATATCGGCTGCACTTTTTCAGCTTTAACTTAGGGCTGTGTGCGTCCACAGAAGATAAGGTTGCAGACTCCGCTTTATTAGGAATAATGCTGCCTTGTAGTTTTATTTTCTTCAAGTTAAACAGACGCGTATTTTCTTTTTTCTGTTCAGTACGCTGTTCTAATTCCTCTTTATCATTTAATTATGAAGTTTAACTCCTTCACATCCAATCCGCCCGACACGGCCCTATATTGAAACAACCAGAACCGCCCGAAAACGGCCGAGATTGTAATCTTCTTTTTTCCCCCCTCCCTAAGGTATGCAGTAAGCAGGTGCACTTTTTCCCAAAAGCATTGCATCAGTTTACTGCAGACAGCTTGTCCTAAGAGGTTTTTTTTTAATCTTTTGTTTGGTCGTGACATTTCGTTGTTGATTCTTTTGTGGTACAGTGTGTTTTTAAGCTTTAAACAGCAATAAAAGAGTAGTTTAAAAATTTAAGGATTATATTTATTTTTAAACAATTTATTCCTTCCTATAAAAATAACGGAAATAAAAATCTCAGTCGTGATCATAGACAAAGCCGGAAAGGCTTGTTGATCTGACCTTCAGAATAGTTTTATAAAGAACGGGGTCAAAGGCTAATGGAATCTTTGTTAGAAAGTACAAAGGATGTCAGTGGAAATCTTCACACCTATGTTCTGCGTTAATGGACGGGGAGGGGAGGAAATTGCTGTGAAACTGGAAAAGTATTTCGGGCGGTTCGGGTATTTTGAGGATACAGCTTAGCGAAGGGTCTGGATTTCAAAGAGTTAAACGTTTTTCGTACTCGGAGTCGTAATTATTTGAAAATGCTTTAGTATTAGCAAATACTGTATATTTAGTTTTCCATATTGTGTTTAAGAATTCAATTCTGTACATTATTTCAAATTCCAAATTTGCATCGATTTTAGCGTTTTGCACGTGTGTTAATGTTTATCTTTTAATGAGCATCTTTGTAATTCCAACTTTCCTATTTTGCTGTTTATTTCAAGGTCTTTATTTCTATCGTTTCCAGATGCTCCCTGCCACGCTAAAGCAATCATGTTTGCCTATAAATTTCCATTACCATGCGGCGGTCCACACAGAGATAAGAAAATCGTGCGTCCGATCCCCGCAAGTCGCTGTTTCCAAACTTTCATGATCTAGCTGACGACATAGTCTGTCATCGCAGACACAGTAATTCGATCCAGTTGACAATACAACAGGCATAACTTCATGACCAGCGTCAAGAGATTTCAGTGTTTTGCACTGTGTCTGCCGTCAAAACCTCTCTATTTCACGAGGGCTCATGAACCAATAATCTTGTTTTTCCTCTGATATCCTTTCAGATATAACGAATCAAAGGATGTAAAATATTATTGAAAAGTTAAGGAGGCGTGGCTAATTCAGTCTGCAGATTTTTTTCCAACCGAACACACGCCAGAATGAGAAGCGATGCGTCAACATAATAATTTCCAAAGAATCATAATTTAATAATAAATTCTAAGGTATTAATGTTTTTGTGTTTATAAATCTTAACTCGCTTTTAGAAAATGTTTAATACATATGACTGCCACATTCAATATTTCTTATGAGGTACTTCGTGTCCTTTTCCAGATGAAGAGCCGTCTTTCCAGGAAAAAAGAAAATGTAATTAACCCTTAAATGCATGTAGTTGTCATTTGGCAACATCATTGGTTGTTTAGTCATGTAAATCAAATCAAAACAAATTTTAGCTTACTGTATAGTGTAACCAATTAGATGCATACTGTGTACGTATATAGTTTTGAAAGCTTCAGTGTGGTGGCACCACTGACGATGTAACAGCCATTATCGTGGGAGCTGATGCGTAGGATGGGGACATCATTTATGGTTACGAATTTTTAGTTTTTTGTTATTTTGATGTACTCAAAGTTTTGAAACTGTTTAAACAAGTATATAAGGTATGTATTATTACATAAAATTGCTATTACATATTTGCCTATCATATTTTGTTTTGGTAAAAGTTAATAATATTTTTTCAAAAATTGGAAAAAAAGCTTAGTTTAGATTTTTTAGTATGTTTCGTATTTTATTTGACATCAACTCTAATATATTCTTGACTTTAAAAATAAAAATAAAAATACAAATTCATGCACTTAAGAGTTAAAATATTCCACACACTTAAAATCGGTTATTTTATGCAATTCTTTTATAACTACTTCATCACATGTTTCACATTCATTTAAATACACAATTTAAAAATATTTAATGATTTTTGGATAAAACGATATTTCTTTAACTCTGTGTCTAAGTATAATTTTAGTTCATCATAAAGATGCATTATTTTTTATTATTCTGAAGTTTTATTATACTAATATTTGATAATACTAAGTTTAAAATTACTTTTTGTGCTATCTCACCACGCAAGTTTCAAAGCATAATTCCGACATATTATATATAAAACAGACATACATATATTGCAAACAATAAAAAGGGCTTTTGTATTTCTCCTGTCTTATGCATAGTAAAAAGGAATTCTTTCAATTAATATTTAGATACAGCGAAGTTCAGAAAGATCAAGACGATGGTGTAATATCAGAAGTTACGATCATCTCCGCTGACCGAAGAGATTCAGCCTTATTCAGTTGCACTGCATCTAATGAATTTGGAAGAGACGAGACTAATTTTCAAGTAGTTGTTCAAGGTAGCATATAGAAACTGCATTTTATTTATCTACTTATTTTATTTACTTTTTAACTGTACTTATAAACTGCCATGCAAATATAGCTGCAACCATCTACATTTTCGGTCCATGGGCAGCAATATGCAATAATTTTAAGCTTTTCAGGAATTTCAGGAATATCTACTTTCGAGCGTGTCATGAATCTATTTTAGCGTTTTGTATCTGTGTTTATGTTTACCTTTTAATGAAGTAATGAAATTCAATGAGCTAATAATCTCATAAATGCCTTTCTTTTCAAAACGCTAAGGAGAATTTAGTTTCATTGATTTCACATGACGTTAATTCCATTCATGATTTGGTAATCAAATAAATATTTAGATGCGTAAATATTTGATAATTTTTTATATAATCTTTGATAAATTTTCTGTTGGTGTTACTTTTGAATTTTAAATGAATGTCCAATTGATATTTTTTTATTGAAGATTTAACAGTGGTTTAATATTTACAATTTCGTTTGTGAAATTCGTCGTAATTGCAGTTGTTATAAGATTAGTAGTTGCACTGCTTGGAACCATCTACTCTTAACTCTTTGAAAGCCAAAGCCTTCCCTAACCTGCATGTTAAAATACGGAACCGCCCCCTCGAAATGGTTTTGGAGAGTCACAACAACTTCTTCCCCTCCCCATCCAAACATTACTGTCAATTTAATACGATCATTCCTGTCTGAGATTATGGTCAGAAAACATCTACAACAGGTATGTAAAAAAACGTGTAGTCAGAAATCAAACCATGGACCTTAGAGTTACAAACTGAATATACTAACTACTATTTTTAAGGACTTAAGAAATGTTTTTAATTCTATACATCATTTCCCTTCTCCCTCTATAAAATTCAAAGGATTTCTGGGATAAAATGAGAGATACAGAGAACATGGCTGAAGTAAATAGATCACTATTCAGTGATCCTAATTCTGTTAGGAAAATTTTTAACTTTGATAAATCCAAATGAATCTCATAAAATTTATTACATAAATATCTGATGTAGACACTACATGATTTCCTCGTACGAGTTATTAAATTACCGATATTTTTGACGCACTTCATTTAAACTTCATTACCTCAAGTTTCATTAGAAATATATTTCTAATTCAATCAATTCAGTTCTCGCTTCGCGACAAGATAAAAATACGTAAAAACGCAATCTTCATTACAAATTTTAAAATACAGAAAAACCTTAAACACCAAAGACAGAAACAGTTAAAAAGCATTTACAACTAAAATTAGAGTTTCTACATAAAAACAAGCAATTCGGCCTACAGACAGGAGGAAAAAATTTTCGGTACAAAAAAATGAGCGTTAACTTTTGTTCCCACTGGACAAAAAGACACTGGATTTGGTGCACGAACTAACTTAATTCACTATCCTACTAAGAGAGTGGCAATACGTGATAAAAAAAGGCGTAGCAATGTTAATGGTAATAATGGTTTGTATGGGACATAAATACCATATCAATGAAGAGGAATGCTTGGAATACTAAAATGCTGAATCTGCAATGAATAGAAACCTTGGCAGTCCAGGCGGATTAAATTCCATTTTTATTTAAACTGACATTTATAGCCACAATTGACTTGAAACTTTAATCGTGCCTATTCCTAGAGCATTTACATTTTTGATACTGACTGGGATTGAGATGGGAGGAGAGCACAGAGAAAAAGAGTCATTACAACAAGAGAGGCAGCAAGAGGGCCAATAAAGTGCTCAATTATCCAAAATGGAAGTTCGCCAAGAGGAAGGTTTTGGTTTAGGTTAGAAAGGTTTCAGTTATCAAAATTCCGAGTTCAGGTTCCCAATTACCTACGCCATAAGCGTAACGCAACCCATGTGTCATAAACTGATCTAAAAAGGAAGCAGTCCAGGAAAATTATTACAATTTTTTTATCCAGAGAGGAAATATTAAAATTAAAAATAAGGAATTAAAAGCCTGTTGCTAAATTGAGTTACAAAGCTGATTTGCTTATCTTTTATCTTACACACATATATATGTAATAATTCTGAATGCGCAGTCGAACGCTGGAACTCTTAACAGCTTTCGATGTCAGTCATGTCTGTGGTTAAGGCATACAGATGAAGGCAACAAAGCTGAATTTCGACAAATCACCCGTCTTTATTTTCACACATATATAATTACTTGGACAGATACTTACTCAATCATAATTAAATACGATAAATTTCTATGTACATTGCTTTCTAACAAGAAATGACGTAGTTAGTTAAGAAAAGCCACGCGATGTTGATAGAGCAGCAATGGAAAAAGGGAATTTATTGTGCCAAGATTACTTATACCAAGTCTGAGGTATAAGTAGAGCTAATCTGTGATTGGTTAATATTAGTTTAGATGCCCTTTTCCAGTAGCATTACATAACATCGAATTTGGTAGAACAGATAAATTTAGGGGGAGATCACTAAATCTAGAATGTTACTTTTGAGGTCGCCAGTTATTTTTTAAAGCAGCTATCGTATTTTGTTATATCTTACGAACACACACACATATATATTTATAATATAAAAATATGTAAATCAGTTTTAATTTAATTTATTTAATTAAATTTTAATTTATTTAGCCTTTAAATTCCTCTTTTTTTTTTTTTTGGTTTGGTTATTTCCTCTTTATTCTAAAAATAACAATAACATTTCTGGGCTGCGCCATTTCTAGATTAATCTATGCCACAAAGCTTGCGTAATACTGATTACGTACTTAGTATTTAGAAATCCAAACTCTGAGAACTGAAAACTTCCTAACCTAAACGAAAACACGAAAACCTTCCTCTTTCGTAACCTGCCATATTGGAGAATTGCGCACTTCGCTTATATCTCTTTTACTGATTGAATGCCATTTCATTTCGATGTGCTCTTTTCCTATCGCAATAATATAAAATGCAAATGCTCTGACGCAAGATTAGAGTGCCAAGTGAATTGCGGCCACATATGGGAGCTTAAATAAAAATGGAATTCAATGTTCCTCGACTGCCAAGTGGATTGACATTGTGAAAAATCCCTGTGGATCGGCATTTCAGCATTCTATGCCATCAAAATTCTTGCTCTTACAGATTCAACCGTCTACGCTGTACACCATCAATATTACAAAGCCTGTTCATTACAGAAAATGAGGATTGTACTTGTGTCATACCTACTATATTTGCTACATATCTATGAAAGTCTGTGACATGCTTATTTTAAATTCCTGCCTTCATAATCGCTCGCTAGTGTTCTGCTCAGTATCTACGCCATCAGTATTTCTGAGATTCTTCGTCTCAGATCATACATCAGTATTTCGAATTTTTTGATGCGGCCGACTGCAACGAAAAATGGCGGTGCACAACTATATGTTATACTAGTCTCATATACAAAATTTCAACGCTATACGGCTGATCAGTTTTAAGTGATACGAGATATATGCATACGTACAAATGTACAGACGTCGCAAAAAACAAATTATATTCCGAATCCATTTTAGAACTATTTTATAATCCGTTTTGGAAAACTAAATCCTTTTTTCTGCCTGTACGTACAGGTGACACTCCAAAAAACGTTCAAATGAATTAGAGAACGATCAGAATAGATATTTTCGTTGAAATTTGATACAAGGAAGTAAATTATATTTCCATTACATGTTTCATATCTAATATCTTCTACAGAAGTATTTTTGTTGAGTAAGGTAATACAAGTATAATATACACAAGTTTAGGTACAAAACTTATAAATAATAACTTATAAATAATAATAAACTTATAAATATAACCAGTTTTGAGATCTTATTTTATTACTTATATTCGGGCTGTATAAATATATAATCCTATTTTCCAACCAATTTTCTTAATATACACAAGCCTTAACTGGATTTTTTGGAAAACAGTACAACTCCTCGGGAAATACACGAGGAATCCCGAGCAAGAAATGCTTTACGGTTGAAAAATTCCACTGCATTTCCTTTAATTTGTTTAGTACAGTACATTTAGTTCCTTTTCCTAGTGTGCTTAGCCAAAGAGAAATACCACTAAGAAGTAGAACAGTACATTTATTTCTGTTTGTAAGTGTTATTGCTATTTGGGTAAAAGGAACTCGTAAGTATAAAATCCGTACTAAATATAGAGAATGAACTGAATTATATAACAATTATTTCTGAAATTAATTAGAAAATTGACAAGAAAATGAAGGTTAACAGTTGGAAGAATTTGAAAATAATTCAGTTAATTAAAATATACATGTACTGTAGACCTATCCGGATTAACAAAAATCACATTTTATGTTGATTTTCAGAAAAAGTAATAAACTATTTTCTGTGGGAAAAATAAGTGCTATTTGAAATAAGAGTAATTTACGTTTTGTTTAAAACTGTAAAATACTTTTGTAGTTATAAAATGAAAACACAAAACACATTCTTTGCGGCAAAATTAAGCAATAAATTTAAATTTTGCTTCCTTAAACAAAAACTGGCTACAGTGAAAACAGTGAAATTAATTTTCATTTGAGCATATCAGAAAGCAGAATTCTTAGTCATGTCTTTTTATTTTCTTTAGTAAACAAAACGAATAAATAATTTTCTATTTGAACAAATCGAATAACCGACTTCTGTAACTAAGTAACAGACGGCAAACACGTGCCACTACGGACTCCTAAGCTCTCCTACTGAAGTAAGCCGAATCTTTCTTAAATACTTCTTCTACCTCATTTACATTCGATGCGCTTCCAAAAAATCATTCTGGTAGGGAGTTGTAAAGGAAAAACAAGAATTGAAAACATTAAAATACACCTTACACGCTGTTTAGAAACGAAATATTTTTAATTAAATATATTAGCTCATATACAGGACCATTTTCAATTTCTTCCAAATGTAAATGTTACTTTAACCCTTTGCGGCATAGTGTGTCCAGTCTGGACACACTTAAAAATTTCCTTCTATACGCAGAAAAACTGAATGAGAAAGGATTTACAGGTTACTATAGGTTACTCTGAACCTTCTTT